AAGCCATAATTGCAGACACCTCTTTTAAAAAGATCAGAAATGAAGAAATCTGCTGACACTGTTGTCTAATCATTACGTATTACTGCTGATTAGCTTATTCAATGCTACATTGCAGACAGATTTAAAAAATATTCAATCACATAATTTGACAGTTTTAGCTAACATTTGTCATTGGAATAATTCAGACAGGTTCTGACAGCAATTCTTCTGAATTATGCATACTAAGCAGCAATAATACTCTACACTTTTTGACAGTTATAAATCCAGTTCTTCCTACTCACATTATTAAAACAAATATTAATGTTATAACCCTGAGTATTTATAAAACATGGCACAATATCATAACTCTTAAATGAAAAGTGTGGTTATTTCATAGCTCATTCTGGCTCAGTGTTGCCCTTGTTTCACATGAGTACACAGATTACATTCAGACATGTTACGGCATTTATGAAATTTTGATATGGATAATTAAGGTTTCTTGACCTGCATCCACTAAAAAATGTTAAAACTCTCTCCAGGACCAACTCAATGAAAAAATCACATACTATAACTGACATACCCTAGTCAACATAACTTGTTTTTTTAAACTGATACTGAAAACTGTTTCTGTAAATCAGTGCCTACAATTTGCAGCCCCAGCTGTACAGGTACAGTACATGCATTTAGAAAGAATATTGTACTAGAATAAAAGTTAAAGTACATAACATGCTCAGAGGTAAATCTTAGCTTTCCAGCAGCATTACTGTTCATACAATCAGAACAACACCACAGATTTAAAGATAACAATGCACAATACAACATACCATTTTTTTCCTGACAGAAGATCTAGACAACTGATTGAATGAAACCTAAAGTAATCATTCCCCAACAAGTGTTTCCTTGAAATGCAGAATGGGAATGTGTGTTAAGAGTTTAACAATATTCCAATGTAAATACTGAAATGAAGAAACTTCTAATTAGATACATGGTTCAGTGTATATAATGTTCTATACAGGCAAGTCATATAATGGTGGAAAAAGGTCATATTGAACACTTCTCTTATTTAAAAAAATAAGGAAATAAAAAAACAGCTAAAACTGTATTCTACTTACTGTATCAAAAGCGCCATAGAATGAAGGAGTTTAATGAAGCTGAATGATCTGTGCTGGACCTGAGCTGTCACATCATTCATTACCTCATAACATTGCCTGTTCCTATAAAGACAGCCAATACTGGCTCACTCATAACACATTTAGTAAATGCCTCCATTTGGTGCTTTATATTCTGGACAGAGTCCTATAACAATATCTCGACATATAGCTCTGTCACTGATCGACACAGGTTGTAGAGCAGCAGTGAGAATGGATGGACTTGGAGATGGAAATCCAC